ACCCCTCAGGGAACCCTCTCTTAGCTGACAGGACCAGAGGACTGCTCCCACTCCCCCAGGGGATTTCTCCTGCTCGGTCTTAGAAAGTTTTTGGTGCTGTGTACCTCGGAGTCTAGGACTAGTGAAGGTCGTGACATCTATCAAAAATTTCCCTCCTAAATTTTATGGATTATTTATTGAATGCAAGAAGAGCAACAACATTTATAACACATAAAAGTGGAAGGAAGTGAATTTCAGAGATGTCGTGAGAAGGGGAATGCATTTGAGACCAGTAGATTAGACAAGAAAGGAAAGTGTAGTTGGCTGGATTGTGATTTAGAGAAGTTTCTCCCCACGTTAAATCAGAGGAGGAAATACACCCAAACTCTCTGAGGTGAAGAAACACTCCAAGGGACACTGATTGCACCCCAGTATTCTCTGATATTAGAAAGTAACTGTACTTGAAAATAACTTTATAATTGAATAAGAGGACATTAGGAAAATACGATTGAGAACCAATATTATAGTAATTAGATAAAGGGAGCATAAATGAAATAACTGCAGGAAGAGCATTGCTGTGGAGATTATAAATGAGATTCTGGCAGAGCAGAAAGCCCTTCCACTGTAATTTACTGCGCACTATAGAATTATCAGCTCTGTGTGTTACTTCATCATAGAAAAGAATATTTGATAATTTCCCCTAATAAGCACATGACAGCTCTTCATATTCTTTCATTACAGATGATTAAGTGTAAAAAACAAGAGAGATTCCTTTCTTGGGAAAGGGTTCCAACCTTCTAAGAAAGCCGTTGCTTTTGCGCCAGAGTTTCTATGGTGTTTTAGCCTGAAAGAAGATGGAGCCAGTCGGAGCCACGAGAAGGTCGCCTTTTTGAAGGCCGCTCGCTTGTTTCCTTTATCCCCCAGCTGGAGTTCTTTCCATTTGTGTCTGGGAAACTTCGAGCCTCAAACTCCCTTCTTTCCCTTGGATTAGGGCAGTGAGCAGCCAAGACAGGCGGGTTCCAAAAGGCCCCAGTCACTCCAAGCTTCCCAAACCCATTTCTCGGGTGCACAAACGAGTGGGCATTCTCCCGTTAGCACCACAGCTGCCCCATCTTCTCAGCATTCCATGCCAGAATCACTCTCCGGCACTGTCCGCGCAGCTGAGCTGGCAGAGGCAGGCTGAATCTCCCTCCCCTCTAGGAAGGTTCCTAGGTTCTTCCTCTCACAGCCCCTCCCCGATAACCTGTCCCACTTCTTACCTTCTAACCCTAATCGCGGGAAAAGAGACCTGATTCTGGCGTCAGGGAACCTCATTTCAAATGCCACCTCAGGTGCTGGCCCCCTACATGGCTTTGAACAAATCCCTCCTCCTTTCTTTGCTCCTTGTCTGTAAAATGAAGGGACCAGAAGAGATGACCTCTGAACTCCTTTCAGCACTGCAACTACGAACCTAGGGAGTGCATTGTGTCTAAGGTCATTTGCAATTCTAGATCTGTGCTCTATGACCTCCCATCCCCCCATTCCCCCCAAAAGGGACCATAGAAGGATCAGAGTCAACCATAGAGACCATCTATTCTCTCACTTTCGTTTCACAGTTGAGGAATTGAGGGATTGCCCAGAGTCTGTGAGTTGGGACCTGAATCCACATCCTTTGGCTACAGGGGTGTTCTCGAGTCCTCCCTAGCCAAGCAGATTGTTACATTTTCTGTGTGCGTGTTTACACCTTGGAAATCTGCAAAGCTATGAATCAGGGCTTGATGGTGATGGAGAAAGTGTGGACGAAGCCTCAGGCACACTTTAGGGGTGGAGGGAGGCACAGAGCTGGTTGTTAAATATTTACCAGCACACTTCTGTCTGGCTCCAAAATCGTATGAGGCGGCCATGGCTGGAGGGAAAGGAGGCTCCTATTAATGGTCTGTAAAGCTCGCCTAACACAGTGCCAGGCACATGGCATTGGGCACTAGATCGGTTATTGTTGCATGATTCGTGGCTTGATGTCATGATCATCCTGTCTAATGGCTCCAAATCCAGTTCTGAGACTTGGTTTATCCTGCCTAGGGGAGCAACCAGCTTCTGCATTCAAACTGAAGGGTGATAGAGGAATGGATGGCGTCCCTTCAGACTCTGTATGCCTGGCTGCCAAGTTAAGAGCACAAGGGCGCTTTCAGTGGACTCATCTGCTTTCCCAAGCTTTGGGGAATGTAGCAGTTGTTCAGGTCAGATAATTTTGGAAATGGATATCAGAGGACCCTGATTGAGGGGTCCCCTGGTCCCCTGACCTAGCTGAGGTTTGGGGCAAAACAGAAGATTTCTCTTTCTATCACATCCCTTCTCTGCCCTTCCCCACCTTCCACCCCTACCAATTCCACTCCCTGTGAAATGAAAGTAACATGAGGTCCCTTGAAAAGAAAATCGTTGTCTACCAGGGAGGGGTACTATGATGCTTGAAGTTAAAAAAAAACCTGCCCTGTGAAATCTCTTAGTCATCTCACACATGACACTGTGATTGGGCAAAGTCAAAAAGTCTGACCTTGGGGATAAGGTGTTTGAAACTGGCTAATGAGGCACACCACAACCACTCCAAAATGAAAAGAAAATGAAAGAGGGCTCCACCAAGGAATGGAAATGCACCCCCCAGCCCAGCTGTATCCTGGGGGAGGCTGGTAGGAGCACTCGTTTACCCTCAGATTCTTCTTCCGGGTGTGGCCTTCCTGGGCTCGTCCTCAGATGGGATCAAGGAGCCTGGAGGACTGAGAACGGTGATGCCATATCTGGTCTTTTCAAGAAGAACAGAGTTGGGCCCTGAATTATTCAGGGCAAGTAGAATAAATAGTCCCAGCACTGACAGGGCAGAGGCTCTCTTACCACTGTGTCTATTCCTCATCCCAGAGGAAGGACAGGCCTCATCAAAATGGGAAGGGCAGTAGAGAGATCGGTCACAAGGACAGATTGGTTGGTTCATCTCATTTGAGGTAAGATTTCACCATAGTATACTCATATACATGAAGACTCCTGCTTACTCGTGTACATCCCAGAACTTCCAAGTTGGAAAGGGCTTTAGTGGCCACCTATCCAGCCCACTCCCAAAATAGTACACAACTACAATGCCCCCAGTAAGTCATCATCTAGTCTCCAGTTAGAGACCACCAATGGGGAAGCCCACCACCTCCCCAGACAGCCCTTTGCACTTAGACAGCTCTCATTTTGGGAAGATTTTCCTGACATCAGCCTCAATGTGCCTCTGCCAATTCCCCATTGCTCCTTGTTCTGTCCTTTGGGACCAAACAAAACAAATCTAAGACTCTTCACTGATTCATAGATCTCAAGCTGAAAGGTGGCTCAGAGGCCAGCCAACCTGACTCCCTCATTTGCTAGAGAAGAAAAAGAGGTCTAACAGGGAAAGGGATTTTTTCCCAAAGGTAGAGAGTGTCAGAGGTGAGTCCTTTGACCCTTGAGTGAGTGTTCTTTCCACTGCACTGCAATGCCTCATCCACATAGCTTAACGTCTACATCTTTTCATGTCATCACGGAACAGAATGGTTCAAGTTGTCCAAATGACATGGTTAGTAGAGAGTTTTTGAATAATTGGAATCCACCACCCCACTGACCTCCATGAAAGCTCTGATTGTTGAGGACAGGAGATGACCCGTGTACTCCCAGGACATGGCAGAGGACAATAGGTCCTTCCAATCTGGGAGGACTGCAGGGCTGAGAGCAAAAAAGCAGTTAATCAGTGTTTGTTTAATTGAATTGAATTGAATTGATTAAGGGCTGGTGTGATTTCTGTATGTCACTCAAACTAACCTAGCTAAGTTTTTAAAGCTTTCTTGTCAGACACTGGGCCGTGATCTTTTTGACCTCAATAATTCTTAAAGACTTTGTATCAGCTCTTAGAGGTCACCAACATAAGTGTGAGATCAAGAATCCCTGGACTGCTTCAGATCAACTCAATTCGCAAAAGCACTTATTGGGCACCCACTCTGTGCCAGACGCTGTCCTAAGTGCTGGTGAGGCAAAGGCCAAAATGAAATAACCCTTACCCTCATGGGATGACATTCTCCAGGGGATATGACATGTATGCAGAGACTTGGGTTCAAATTAAATCTCTACTAGTTACTATTCATGTGACCTCAGACAAGTCGCTTCCCTTCTCTGATTCAGTTTTCCCATTTGCAAAATGACAGAACTGAACTATGACTTCTAAGGTCCCTTTCATCTCTAACCCTGGGATCCAAATGTCGTCTTAGCGACTCCACAACATATGTAACATTGAGGGGTGGTGGAGTAGTACTAGTCTTAGTGGTGGGAGTAGTGGGAGCAGTCATTGTCATAGTAGTGAGTAACTAGCATCTATACAGAACCTTAAGGTTTACAAGAGCTTTGCATATATTAACTCATTTGATCCTCACAATAACCCTGAGAGGTCAGTGCTATTATTATTCTTATTTTACAGATGAAGAAACTGGGGCTGAGTTAGGTTCAATGACTTTCCCAGGGTCACCCAGCTAGGAATTGTCTAGGGCTGGATTTGAACTCAGGTCTTCCTTACTTCAGGCCTAGTGCTCCAGAGCATCTCTCTCTCTTTTTTTTTTTTGGTTGGTTTTTAATAAGAAATGAACCTTTTTTAAAGTCTTAATAAAATTATTTTTAAACTGCTTGGCCTTGGTTTCCTTCCTTGTCAAATGAGGTAGCCAGACTCTGTGAGCCCCGAGGTCATTTTCAGCTCCATCATTCTCCGAGTCCATTGGTTGTTATACAAGGTCGGACTCAGAGAGTGACTTCGCTGAATCCCAGACAGCAGCTTCCTGAAATGACCTCTGGGGAGATATCGATGTTTCTCTCCGGCCTCTCGATTTCCAATAAATGTTTATGGCACTGAGCATTTTTGTTGAATTGGGTTGTAATGTATGGCAGGTTAAGAGATCGAAAACCCAATGACAGAGTTTTTATTATCTCTCATCTATATATTTTAGTAAGGGTGTGTCAACCTGGAAGCTTAATTGTGTTTGTTTTCCTTTCAGGAAGATCTCCAACACTTGGCTCAGCACTGGCTGGTTCACAATGACGATTGCATTAGAGCTCTGTGACCGAATAAATGTCTATGGCATGGTGCCCCCCGATTTCTGCAGGTAGGATTTACTCTGGGAGCATTCCTCACTGGTGATGCTGAACAGGTGGGTTCAAGAAGCAGATGGTGATGGGAGAAAGCAGGCTGGACTAGGGGTCTGAGGACAAGTGCCCAGCTGGGCCACTCCTAGCTGTGGGACCTCAGGAAGTCCAGCTCACTAAGCCAGGTCTCCATTTCTTCACTTGTCACATGAAGGGGTCAAAAGAGAGGGCATCTAAGGTCCATCTGGTTCTCATACTACAATCCTAAATCTGATCCTAGGAATGTCTGATTCTGAACATCGATCCTGAAGCATGTCTGACTGTCTTTTTGAAGCAATTAATTAATGTGTCCCAAGGTCTGGTTCTGAAGGTAACAAACAGTATTTAATTATGTGGTATAAAATATTGAAAGTTTTTGTTTGTACTGCCAGAGAATTAATCCATCTTGTGGATCTCGCTTCTCCCTTGAATATTTATCAGCAGAGAGTAAGGCAATAATTGGCATGATATTAATGTGAAGAGAGCATTAAGAAAGAGTCGTTTTCTTATCCTTTGAAAGGAATGTGGTGATTCTTTAATGAGCTAAAGAGGGCAATTCTTCTGACAGTTGGGACTGTTTTCTAAAATTAAACTGTTCCTCAGAGCCTGGTTCCCTGGCTTGTCTCATCTCTGCCATTTCTCTTGTGTCTGTGAATCTGGAGCCAAATGCACTGGCTTGCCTGATTTGGGTTTATTTGATTTTTATGTTAAGAGTTAGGAGCATCTCCTTAGGTGCATCACCTTATCTGGTTGGCATGGGTCCAGGCAAACTTTGACCCCCTCCCAAAGTGCACAGCCTGATTTATTGGGACTGGTGATTAATCAGGGGTTCTTAATGGGGATGAACCTCTTTAAAATATTTTGATAACTATATTTCAGTACAGTTTCTTTGTAATCCTGTGTATGCTAATGAGCCTTTTTTTATTTACGGACTTTAAAAACATGCTTATCAGGTGCAGCTAGGTGGCACAGTGGCCTGGCCTCAGAACAAAACACTTGACACTTACTAGCTGTGTGACCCTGGGCAAGTCACTTAGCCCCAAATACCAAAAAAAAGGAAATAAAAAACCATGCCTGTCCATGAGGCATTTTGGACATCAGTTTGGCATGAATGGTCAGACAGACACACACGGAGAGTGACATTCACATGGGTCTGAGGGTCTCGTGAATGGGGTCCCCTTCATCCCAAGCAGCCCCTCCAGGGACCTGGCAGGTAGGCCTCCTTAGCTGTCCCAGAGCTGGGGAGAGCTGGGGAGGGCTGGACAGGTGCTGGCTGAGGGACCAGAGCCACCTTCCTCCTAGGGATGTCAGCTTCTAGGGAGGATGGAAGGGTGATGTCGATGCCGCTTGGAATCCTTGGTCTGGAGGACGAGGCGCGTCGATGACATGAGTTGGTCTCGTGTTACTTCTCCATTTAGAATTGGCCTCAGACGGGCCTTTGGCTGCCCATGCGTGTGACAGCAGGCCCACACAGAACAATACCGCGCGGCCGCCTATTAGGTATTGACCTGCTTGCACGCCCTTGCACATTCCCCAGTCTGTCATCTGAATCCAAAGAATTATCCACACCAGGCCGGGCTCCTCAAGTGAAACGGGCGTTCGTGGTCCCTTGTTCTGAGGCACATTAACTGTTTCAGGCCCTGAGGGACTGGGGCTCTCTTCAAGGGATTGCAGTGGCCTCCCAGGGGTTAACGATTCCCTCCCTTCTTAGCCAAAGATATTGGCTTCCATGGGCTTTATTGAAGCATCCTTCTCTCCCAGAGAGCACCATATGGCCAAGTCAATCTCTCTCAGGCCTTAAGTCAGTGTCTGAACCATGGTCCTTCTGTAGGAGGGGTGGGATTCATCTCCCCCCACCCCCACCAGGGCTGACCTCTCCTTTCTGAAGAGACAGCCCCTACACTCCACAGGGAAGCAGAAGGCTCTGATGAGGACAGAAGGTACCAGGGAACTTGTCCTGCATCTGAGCAAGGGACTTTGCTGCTGCTAGATGTGCATCAGACAGATTGCAATGGGGCTAGGTGAGAGGAGAAAGATGAGTCTGGCTTAAATACATCTGCATGCCAAGTTAGAGGGGATCTTCTGGATATCTAACCCTAGATCAGAGAGTTATCCATAAGAGAGAGCTTCCATCTAGAGGCACCAGTGGATTTGTTAAGCACCTACTACGTGCCTGTCATATTCTAGCCCCTTTTGGCCCCAAGGAGTCGCTCGGACCACAGGTAGGACTCAGAAACGGAAGGTGACCTTCAGTCTTCTTGCTCACCCCCCACGCAACTGATGAGGAAGCTAAGGCCATAGGAGTTAGCGGGGGGCTGCCAAGACTGCACTGGAAAGGCCTGTGCCTCCTACCAAAGCCAGGGAGGCCATGGCCCCATGCCATCCTCTACCAGGCCACACCACCTCTAACAGCTGGGTTTAGTTCCGGGCGCCACTCTTTAAGGAAGCCCTAGATGAGCTGGAGAGGGTTTGGGAGAGGACGACCAGGATGTGAAGGGCCTCCAGACCAGGCCATGTTGCAGTAACAACAATGATGATGATAATAGCTACAGTGGTCACATATCACACATGTAACCTTACAAAGAGCTTTGTCCGCATCATCGCATTTGATCCAGTCTGGGGAGAGGCACGGACAGAAGGGAACAAACATTATAAAGCACCTACTATGTGCTGGCCCTGCACTAAGGGTTTTACACATCTGATCCCATGTGATCCTCACGACAACCCTGGAAGATAGATGCTATTATGAGCCCTATTTTACAATTGAGGAAACTGAGGCAGGCAGAGGTTAGCCCAACATCACACAGCTTAGCAAGCATCTGACACTGGATTTGAGCTCCGTTCATCCTGACTCTAGGTCTAGTGCTCTATCATGTTGTGCCACCTAATTGCCAATAATATTTTCCTTATTTTACACATGGAGAAACTGAGGCCAAGAGGCTGAGTTACTTGCTCAGAGTCACACAGCTATGAAGCATCAGAGGCCATATTCAAACCATCTGGGAATTGGTTGGCGGAACTGGGGATATTGAGCCTGACCAAGAGAAGTCTTAGCGGTGACCCGTAGGCATCTTCGGCTATTGGAAAGCCTGTTGTGCTGTAGAGCAGCAGCCCAGCCCTTTTTGGTTTCAGATGCCAGAACCAGAAACAGTGTGCAGGAATTGTGGAGTGGCAGATTTAGGGTAAGGACACAAAGTGAACTGGGCTCCCTCGAGCAAACCAGCCTTCCTTCCTGAGATCTTTTGCCAAATCTAGGTGGTCACCTGGGTCAGGTGCTGGAGACATTCGTGTGCACGTACGGGATGAACTGGGTGGTGGGTGAGGTGCCGTTCTCCTCTGACGTTTTGGGCTCCCACAAAAGGGCACAGAGCTAGTAATAGACAGAATTTGAACCCAGGGAGTTGGGTGACATAAGCCACTTAACATTCTCATCCTCAGTTTCTTCATCTGTAAAATATGCATAAGAATAGTTCCTGCCTTACAGCGTTTGTGAGGATCAAATGTAAAGTGCTTCATGCACTTTATCTGGTGCACAGTAGGTGTTTAATAAAGGCTTGTTTCCTTCTAACCTTCCTTCCTTCTTTCCCTCCCTCCTTCCTTCTTTCCCTCTTTCCTTCCTTCTTTCTCTCCATCCCTTCCTCTCTCCTTCCCTCCATATTTCAGTCTCCTGGGGCACCTCCAGGGTTCTAGAGGTAGTTCTTAGGAGTCAGGGGGTTGTCTTTCAAACACTGTAGCTCATAAACCACCATGGTGGAATGCTGGTCTATGGGGCCTCTGGAGACTCTTCCAATGTTAAGATTCTTTGATTTTCTGACCTTATTGATAGTGATGGAGACTGCTTACCCGTCCACTGAGCAGGAGCATCCACACTCTCCAGCAAAGGAGAATATGTCATGTACTGCTCTACAAAAACAAATCTACCTGTAAGTAGAAGCAGATTCCATGGCCCCACTCTCTGGCTACAGAGGCCAATGACAGGCATCTCTAACTTACCAGGCAGGACGCTGGGCTCACTGTGACCCTGGCTTTTTAAAGCCACTTGGCTAAGTGGAAACGTTTTTCTCCCTGTCGTCTAGGGAGAAGGCTCTCTTTCTTCAAAGGCTGTTTTAAGAGCCAGGCTGTGAAGTCCAAAGGGGTTAGACAGGGTCATATGACCCAGAGTTGGAATGAATTATCTAGTCCACTCCCCTCATCTCCTCATCAGACAGAGGAGTCAACCATGGCTCAGAGAGCCCCAGTGACCTACCCAGGATCACACCCTTGGAAGGAGTGGATCCAAGATTCTGACCCAGGTTTTCTCACTCCAAAGACAAGACTCTTTCAACCACACCAACCATAATGTCTTATTACAATGGAAAACTGAAAACAAAATGACTCCCTAGTGATAGGGAATGGAAAAAATGTGGCAGATCAATGCCATAGAATAACATTGAGAAATGATGTCCGAAGGATTCAGAGATGCATCAGCAGACTTGCATGAGCTGAAATGGCAGGAAGGCAGCATGACTTAGGAAAGCAATGCTGAGAGGCAGCCACACTGTCATCAGTTTCCTGACCAGTCTTGGTCCCAGAAAAATGATGGGACCCTCCTCCTTCCTCTCAGTAAAGACGAGGGTTCTACTGGTGCAGAAAGCTGGGTATGCATTTAGACAGGGTCACTCCATTGGTTGACTTTGCTCAACTCCTTTTTCTATTATGAGAACCCTTGTGATGATTGTGGCAAGGTACTATAGCTGGCCTTCCAGTACTCACCCAGGAACCTAAGATCAGAGATTCAGAAATCATTGGTCCCGTCCTTTATTTTACCAATGAGGAAACTAAGGCTCAGAAGGGTGAACAACTTGCCCAGGTCATCAAGGTAATTTGGTGGGGTTTGAACTGAGGCACTGTGACTCCAAGCCCAGCACTTCCCTCCCTGGTTTCTAGAAAGTTTATCCATCTGCAGTCCCTGTGCTCCTCCCCAGTACCATGTACCCATGCA